GTTTTATAGTTTCGTACTAAACAATTGGCAGAATAGACAAAGTCGCTTTTCTATAAAGGTCATAACATTTCCAATTGGCTCTAGGAGAACCGACGCCCCACAGTCCGAATTATCTCAAAGTATAACAAAATTTAAAAAGCACGTTATATTACATGCAGGTGTCTATATCTCAAGCATCCCTTGATACTGCGGAAGCGTACCATCCTCATGCTTGCCGCCCTCGCATAGATCAGCCGTCTTTTATGTTTGATGTTTAATATGTCATGTTATTTTCTCCCGAAAGATCTATATTATATCCACGAAGGCAATTCAGCCCACTAAATATAAACTCTGAGAACGATAAAATTGCCAATTTAAACATCAGCATTGCCATTTGCCGAGATCGAAGGGAAGTGCTTTGGCGATCGGCCGTCCACACCGTAGAGAAACGAACGTAAAAGATCATGTCATCCACATTGCGTTTACGTATAAACGTCGATAATATTATACATCACGAGATTGTTGTACGTAAGCCGCATTATCCGTACGCTATTCCGTTTTTCAATCATTAGATTTGCAACGTTCCATTCGCATGTACGCGCGCAGCACACAATTTATAGCGATCTACTTTCACCGTGTATACCAGGAGAGTGGTCGCGTTGCAGCGCGTGGCTTCGCTCGCAGAGCACACACGTCTTCAATGCACAATGATCGTAAAAACTGCATAACCTATTTTTTCAACAGGGGAGGCTAGAGAATTTATCAATGTCATCATATATTCATATTGCTACAGTCCTAATTAGGTCCAATATTTGTGCAAACCTAATCATATATAATAATGATGATGCCACATGTTCACTACATCCGAGTTTCCGAGTTTAGCCGTCTCAGTGCGGGACAGCTAAAGAATGAAAAGCGAGAAAGGATAAGGAAAGATAAGCGACCACGAGGAGAAAGGCATTTTATCTTGTGTTCGAAAAATGTTAGATCAATTGTGACACACTCGATTCGTATATATACTGTTAATCAGTGTATATTGAGTGATATGTTGGACACTTATTCATTACTTCGATCGGCGTATATAACTAATATTAATGATTGCTTGGATAATACACGATAGAAAAGATCTTACGATAAATTGCTCTGCATAATTTAATAGTCGATAGCCGCTTATCCATATAGCAGAAACGAAGAATGTACGTGCTAACATTATAAGGCTTATTTTGGCAGTACTGCTGCCTAGGTAGAAAGCTTGATTGTGTGATGATTTCGGGAGTGGAGAAAAGACGCGAGCAGTCACAGTTTTCCAGCATCAATCTGTTGCCCAACCCATCGATGACATCAGAAGTAGATAATAAGGAATTCCTATTATCTACTTCTGATAACATGCAGCCGCCATCTTACAGTTCTTATTTGCTGTGCGTATAGTGAGCGCGATTAGTTATTGTGTAAATCTATGTAAGTATAAACATTCACGGGAGCAGTCGTGCGCATTATGGCGTACGGTTTGTCAATTTAGTCATTTATAAACTTCACTACATGTATAATGGCGGCACGATATACGTTACAACGAAAGAATATTTTAATTTGCAGAATAAAATTGACGTATGGATATTGTGCAGGGTCGTCTTTGGATTACCTATAACTATTAAAATGTAGGGCGTGGATATCCGATGATAATGTTTAAGAATTTAAGCGTTAGAAGTTTTTGCGTTAAAGACGCAGTGAAGGCGTGCTAGTATAAGATGCATGTTTTGTAGAATGCAGTCACAACACGAAAGTTAGACACCAGACAACAGAGTTATCGGTTGGAGGAACTAGCGCCAATTACACCGAGTTAATCTTTTTAAATCTTCAAACGTTTTTTAGCGTCTAACTGAACGTGCCACGTGCACGACATGTGTCTGACTGTGTGTTACCACTTTACAAGCAGCAAATATTAGGGTGAAATCATGAGCTAAGATTCTCACTGTCACATTAAACCCCACTCATCTGTCAATAGGACCAACGCGGTCATGTTTGTCGCGTGGTCATGTTTGTCGCGTGGTAAGTACGTCAACAGGAATCGAGACGGTGCCTGGCTGGCAACGCGTCAATTTCACTCAGCCATCAAAATGGCACTCCGCCATTAGTTAATTAAACGCGTTCCTCGTTTATTTCGTTGCGGCTCTTAGATGGTTCCGCACTCGGCTTCTTCTTCAACCATGTCGGATAAATGCGTTTCGCTGGCATTTGACCAACATACTGCTGTTCAGTTGACCCGTAGATATTAGCGACGGTAACAGCAGCTGTGCGCTTAAACCTGTTTCAAATTGTTCGGCAAGAAGTCATAAGCACTTGACGAATATCGAAATGTCGATTACATGTCTAATTCCGCATCGAAAACGGATGCCGTCGCGTTGTGCATATATAACATGCGCAATGATAGGTATAAAAAAAACGTTAACACAACAGGTGAATATTTATTAATTCTATCGAAGCATCCACTCAGATGCAAAGAGCATCAGGTGTATATAGCGTTTTGCACGTGCAATTATCTCTGGAAACGTATAATGTTTAAACTTTATGGCCATTCAAATCATTGTTTAAGCATGCGAGCAATCTCGTAAAGTATATTAGCTCGAGCACTCGGCTGCCTCGTATGTTTTTAACTACAGCCCTGAGCAGACATTCGATCCGTATGCGCTGGTAGTAATCATGGTTATTCGGCATAGACTTTCAAAAAAAAAGTTTTTTATTGTGTCTTGTTTAGCGTTAAGACGATCGAACAGGAGAAAAACCGTAGTTACAATAAGGTAAAAGTTTCCCTGTCTTTGATTACCCAATACAGCAGCTTTGACGATAATTATTTTAATTTTTTTTAATTATAATTATGTTTAACAGCATTGATAGCAGAATTTAATTAGCCTGACATGTTGAGATTTTTTATTAAATCTGCATATTCTCCTAAATTACTTATATAGATTCTATATACCTTTACTACACACACACACACACACACACACACACACACACACACACACACACACACACACACACACACACACACACACCACACACACACACACACACACACACACACACACACACACACACACACACACACACACACACACACGACACACACACACACACACACACACACACACACACACACACACACACACACAAACACACACACACCCACACACACACACACACACACACACACACACACACACA